GTACAAAAAAAGTATGAGAGTAGATTCAATCAACTAGAATCTACTACATGTGCCATGGGAAACCCCAAAACACAAGCATTGTTTCCTGACACATAAGATGTTACAGTTTTGTTGGAGGGGGGGGAATCCAGGCACCAGTGGCTTATGCCTATGATCCTAGCTACTTAGGAGGCTGAGATCTGAAGATTGCAGTTTGAAGATAATCTGGGCAGAAAAATCTGTGAGACTCTTATCTCCAACAAACTACTAAAAAGAAAGAAAGAAAAAAAAAAAAACCCAAGCGGAGATGTGGCTCAATTGGTAGACTTAGCTTTGTGCCAATGAAGCTTAGTGACGGCCCTGAGTTCAAGCCCAGCACCACCAAAAAAAAAAAAAGTTACCACATAGATAGGACACAATTAGAAATTTATAATATGCTTCATGAAGTGAGGTCCCAACTCTAAGTACTGTAGTGGTGGTTAACAAAGGAAAAAGGAAGAGCAATTTGGTTCTCAATCATCAAGGAAGGCTCAGAGAGAAGGAAAGATGCACCAAAATTCATGAAGGGCAAAGGAAGAGAACCTTCCAGGAAAGGAATACAGAAAGGAGCAGAATCTTGAGGCTTCAAAAAATTATACTTTCTTGAATGACAGTGCAGCCATGGGAATTCACTAGTGTGGGGTGAAACAAAAATCCTATAGTTAGAACCCAAAAGCAAGATGAGAGTGTCTTGTGGTGGAAAGGTGGTAAGAGTTTGCCAAGATAAACCACCTAACTTGCTGGAGCAGGTGGCTCACACTTGCAATCCTAGCTAGTCAGGAAGCTGAGATCTGAAGATCAAGGTTCAAAACCAGCTGGGGCAGGAAAGTCTGTGAGATTTTTTTTTTTTTTTTGGTCAGTCGTGGGGCTTGAACTCTGGGCCTGGGCACTGTCCCTCAGCTCTTCAGTTCAAGGCTAGTGCTCTACCACTTAAGCCACAGCGCCACTTCCGGGTTTTTCTGTTTATGTGGTGCTGAGGAATTGAACCCAGGGCCTCATGCATGCAAGGCAAGCACTCTACCACTGAGCCACCTTCCCAGCCCTGTGAGATTCTTATCTTCAATTAACCACCAGAAAACTGGAAGCAGTTATGTGATTCAAAGTAGTAGAGCATTAACCCTGAGCAATAAGAGCTTAGGGACAGCACCCAGGCCCCGAATTCAACTCCCACAACCAACAAAAACAAAACAAAACAAAAAACCCACCACCTGACTCAAAAGCCTTATTTCTTAGCTAGGGCTAAAAGATTATTAAAGTCTTCAGAACATTATTTTAAGTATTTTGTTATATGAATCTCATTAGTATAGACCAAGAGTGCATAGGGTGTGGCTTAGGAGTGGCTGTGGCTACAGTTTGGCTCTCTGGAGTAATTATAAGTTTATTTGAAGCTTCTGTCTCTTTGGAAGGGAGCTGACTGTGTTTATATAACATCATAAGATTGAGAACAATTCAATTTTCGGTACCAAAGGATTGGAAGTGGTTATGGGAGTAATAGCTGTTGTGACTTTCCTAGGTGATAAAAGAGTCATGCTTCCTATTCTTCTTACTCTTTCCTTTGGGACAGTTTTCTTGGCTGAACTATGAAAACAAGGCAAAAGTGAATCTGGTACTTATTACTCTATCTTCCTTTTTTGTGTTTTGTTCTTTTTGTGATTATACTGGGTCTTGAACTCTTGAGCTGTTTGCTCAAGGGCTGGTGCTCTACTACTTGAGCCACCCCTTCAGTTCCAACTTTTCACTGATTATTTGGAGATAAGTGTCTTATGGGAACTTTCCTGTCTAGGGTAGCTTTGAACTGTAATCCTCAGATTTCAGCCCCCTGAGTAGCTAGATGCCAGTAGTGTAAACCATTGGCATCTAGTATGCCTTTCCCTTCTTAATCAGAAATAAACCTTTTCAACAATTTTATACAGTTGGAACTAAAGTGAAGATTTTCAAATAGATGGAGTAGAAAGAGCAGCTGAACATTATGGTTAGAAATGTGCTATCAGGGCTGGGAAGGTGGCTCAGTGGTAGAGCGCTTGCCTTGCATGCTCAAGGCCCTGGGTTTGATTCCTCAGCACCACATAAGAAAAAAGAAAAAAGCCGGAAGTGGCGCTGTGGCTCAAGTGGTAGAGCGCTAGCCTTGAGCTGAAGAGCTGAGGGACAGCACCCAGGCCCAGAGTTCAGGACCCACGACTGGACCCCCCCCCCAAAAAAAATGTGCTATCAGAGGCAGGGATGTTGGCTCAGTGGTAAGTGCTTGCCTTGCATGCATGAGGCTCTGGGTTTGATTCCTCAGCACCACATAAGCAGAAAAAGCTGAAAGTGGCCCTATCTATGGCTCAAGAGATAGAGTGCTAGCCTTGAGCTGAAGAGCTGAGGGACAGCGCCCAGGCCTAGAGTTCAGCCCCCACGACTGACAGAAAGAAAGCAAGAAAGCAAGAAGGCAAGGTGCTATTATCCCTTACTGCCTCCCACCCCAATTCATTTTCATTTTAGTGTCTCTGTTTACTGATGAAACAGTGAATTATGAAAGACTGCTTGTTGAACACCATCCCACTAACATATCTCCTGTGACTTTGGAAATGGAGAAGAGGGGATATTTTCCCTTGTTACAATGACTTTGGACTGTCACAGCAGCTAGTTGTGACAGAAGCCAGACATCTCATGTCCTGTCATGCCTGAGACAGTGCCTCAAATCAAAGTGCTGCTCCACTGAATCTCTAGTATGAAACACTGATGGGCCCTAAGGAACCTTTCAACTTTAAAGAACATTACTAAAAGGCTGGGAAAGTGGCTCCGTGGTAGAGTGTTTGCCTTGCATGCCTGAGGCCCTGGGTTTGATTCCTCAGTACCACATAAGCAGAAAAAGCCAGGCGTGGTGCTGTGGTTTAAGTGGTAGAGCGCTAGCATTGAGCTGAAGAGCTGAGAGACAGCGCCCAGGCCCAGAGTTCAGGCCCCACTGACAGAAAAAAAAGGAACATCACTAAAGTCTGAGGCATCAGGTCACATAGTCCGGTCTCTCAAATCCTACTCTGTAATTTACCTTATTTCAGTAATAGCTAACTCCTCCTTGTGTGTGTGTGTGTAATTACCAGTACTGGAGCTTAAACTCAGGGCCTGGGCACTATCACTGAGCTCAAGGCTAGCACTCTACCACTTGAGCCACAGCTATTTTTTTTTGCTGGCTAACTGGTAAGAGACTTACAGACTTTCCTGCCAAGGCTAGCTTTGAACCTCTACCCTCAGACATCAGACTTCAGAGTAGCTAGGAGTATGGGTGTGAGCCACCAGCACCAGGCTTTCATTCTTTAGATTTTTTTAACTTTAATTTCACTCCTCGGAGGGCTCCCCACCACCCAAAGTACCTGTCCAATTTTTTTTTATTTTTTTATTATTATTTTTTCAGTCATGGGGCTTGACCTCTGGGCCTGGGCGCTGTCCCTCAGCTCTTCACCTCCAGGCCAGCACTCTACCACTTGAGCCACAGCGCCACTTCTGGTTTTCTGGTGGTTTATTGGAGATAGAGGAGTCTCACGGACTTTCCTGCATGGGCTGGCTTTGAACCGTGATCCTCCGATCTCAGCCTCCTGAGTAGCTAGGATGACAGGCTCGTGAGCCACTGGGCCTGGCCAATTTTACGATTTTTAATTGTTCAGTTTTTTTGGAGCAATGTCTCCTTCCACCACTCTGCAAATACCATAACAAAGCTTGACTTCTCAGTTCATTTTTGCTAGGTTAGGTCACAAAAGCACTCAATATCCACATATATGTGTGTGTGTGTGTGTGTGTGTGTGTGTGTGTGTGTGTGTGTGTGTGTGTGTGTGTGTGTGTATACATTTATATAGCTATATATGTATATGTCTATGTC